TTTTTTTTTTTTTTTTTTTTGAGACAGAGTCTCGCTCTGTCGCCCAGGCTAGAATGCAGTGGCCGGCTCTCGGTTCACTGCCAGCTCCACCTCTCGGGTTCACGCCATTCTCCTGCCTCAGCCTCCCGAGTAGCTGGGAATACAGGCGCCCGCCACCATGCTCTGCTAATTTTTTTGTATTTTTAGTAGAGATAGGGTTTCACCATGTTAGCCAGAGTGGTCTTGATCTCTGGACCTCGTGATCCGCCCGTCTCGGCCTCCCAAAGTGCTGGGATTACAGGCGTGAGCCACTGTGCCGGGCCTCATTTTCTCTCTTAATTTGTGTCTTTTTTATTTTTTTGTTGATATATGTTTACTTCTTTCTTACTTTGTTTTATGTATCTATACAAATATATTCTTTGTGCTATCTTGGGGATTACATAACACCTCTAAAAGATACAACAATATATTTCAGTCTGGTAAAAAGAAAAAAACTTCAGTTGCATGCAAATGTTTTTTCTCATTACATCTGCCCTCAAAGTTTTCATTGATGTTTGAATTATATTTTTTAATGTTGTATATTCACTAACAAGATGTTTATAATGATTTCTATGCTTTTAATTTTCAAATTTTAGAGAATAATTAAAAATATTTTCTGTACCATTATAATAATGCTTAAAAATTCAATTTTTGTGTTTGTGGATATCTTTTCCAGAAAATAATGTATTTTTCTATGATTATGTGTTGTTTCATTGAATAATGTTATTTTCAGTAGAAGCAACTGCTTTTAGCACCTTTTATATGTAGAGCATATGGAGTGCCAATACACTTTTTCAGAATTTGGTTATTTTTGAAGGTTTTGTTTTTTTTATTCAGCAGGACATATTTGCTGATGGCATTATACTCACTTGATAGCTATTTTTTTCAGGACTTTGACTATATCAGACAGTACCCTTCTGGCCTGCAAAATTTTTGTTGACAATTCACTGGCTATCTCATAAGACTATGCTTGCAAATGATACATCACTTTTATCTTGCAGTTTCCAAGAGGCTGTTTTTGCATGTGACTTTTGAAATTGTGCTTACATATATGTTTGTTATAAGTATCTTTGTGTATATCCTAGTTTGTTTTTTGAGCTTCTTCATTTTTTATGTCATTTTTTTCTTTCAGGATTTTTCAGTTAGTCTTTTTGATATTTTTTGCTGTCATAATTTCTGTTTTTCTGATATTTTACATATTTTTGTTCTTACCCTCATTTTTCTGATTTTCTGTAGTTCTCACTGTAGTTCTCATTTTCTGTTTCACTCACTGAGTATTCAATTTGTTTTCAATTTTTAAAATTAATACATACATTTTTTATGGTTTCTCTCTGAAACTTTTATAACATTTTTGATAAAACCATATTGCCTTATTTTGTATACATTTGTAATCTTTGATTGAAATTTGGACATTAAAAAATGCTACCTGTCACAATCTTTATAATGTAGCTTTGTTCTGGCATAGTCTGAACAATTGTCTTGATTAGAGATCCTGGGAGTCTCTCAAACATGTTCCTAGAATGTGTCTTATCTACAATTTTGTGTTTATTTTTTAATTAAAGGAGTTTGTGTTTCTTCTTTTTTTAGTTTTTTTTGAGACAGAGTCTTGCTCTGTCTCCCAGACTGGAGTGCAGTGGTGCAATCTTGGCTCCCTGCACCCTGCGCCTCCTGGGTTCAAGCGATTCTCCCGCCTCAGCCTCCCAAGTAGCTGGGAATACAGGTGCACACTCTCACACCTGGCTACTTTTTTTT